CCGGGAGTGGCCACTGCACTCCAGTCTGGTGGTCAGAGTGAGACTCCAACTCAAAAAGAAAAAAAAAAAGAATACATGGTCAAATGTAACGACTCCATTTGTTTTTTGTTTTGTTTTGTTTTTAGTCTACCAATCTGCATGCTGAAGGACTCCATTTGTTCAACCAAAGCACCTCCCGGTTAGGGATCTCTATCGACACCAGACATTCTTCAGGAAAAGAATGTAGGCAGAGAGAGGGTGAGCTGACAAGTGAAAGAGGCAAGGGACCGTGCAATGCGGGGCTGTGTCTGGGCCTCCAGGAAGGAGTGGGCAGTGGCTCAGTCAGAAGTAGGTTGAAGTAAATAGCTGCTACCTGAGAGACCGGTGATATCCATCTTCGGCAAGTGTCTGGCTTTGAGGACCACCACTGTCATTCTCTGTGCCACAGGCTGATATGACAGAGACACCTGGAGCTCCCCTCTGCTGATGCACTTCTGTGAGGAAGAAACAGCAGGTGAGAATTCTGGCAGCGGGGCAGGGCAGGGCACAGAAAGGAAGGAGTGGGAAGAGGCTCTGGAAGAGGACCCGTGCAGGGTGGAGTCTGGAGGAAGGATGTTCATCCCTGTCAAGGTGTTGTGATCCTATCTAACAGGGAAGGGGAAAGGATGCATTATTATCATAGTTCTGATATTAAAATCATTTTCATGGAGAGGCAGCACAGCCTTGGATTACAAGCATGGACTTTGGAGCCAGGTTGGCCTGAATTCAAATCCTGATGGCCATTTCTTATATTTCTTATCTGTGACCTTGGACAAATTGCTCAACATCTCTGTATTCAGCTTCCTCATCTGTAAAGTGGCGGGGAAAGGTAGTATCTACTTCATAGGATTATTAGGAGGATTAAATAAGCTAAAATATGTAAATCACAAGAGTGCTCAGCACGTAGTATGTGCTATAGAATTACACTTTCTTTTCTTTTTTTTTTTTTTTGAGTTGGAGTCTCACTCTGTCACCCAGATTGGAGTGCAGGGGCTGCTCCCGGTCACCGCAGCCTCGACCTGCTGGGCTCCGGTGATCCTTCCGCCTCAGCCTTCCAAGCAGCTGAAACTATAGGTGCGCGCTACCACGCCTGGCTAATTTTTTAATTTTATCGTAGAGATGAGGTCTCGTCAAGTTGCCCAGGCGGGTCTCGAACCCGTGGGCTAAGGCAATCCACTCACCTCAGCCTCTGAAAGCGCTGGGATTACCGGCTGAGCCACTGAACCCGGCTACATTTTCTTTCTTTTGTTTTTTTTTGAGTCAGGGTCTCACTCTGTTGCCCAGGCTGGAATGCAGTGGCACAATCATGGCCACTGCAACCTCGACCTCCTGGGCTCAGACGATCCTTCCACCTCATCCCCTCAAATAGCTGGAACTACAGTCATGCACCACCATGCCTGGATACTTTTTAAAAAATTTTTTGTAAGCCGGGCTTGGTGCTTCTCCATCTTTGTTTCTCCATCTTTAAATGATATGCTAGACTTTATTTTGAGCTCAGGGAAAAAAAAACCCTAGTCCTCCAATAATTTTTTTTTGGGGGGCCAGAATTATGGAGTGCAGTGGCATGATCATGGCTCACTGTAGCCTCAACCTCCTGGGCTCAGGTGATACTTTTATCTCAACATCAGGAGTAGCTAGAACTACAGGCATGTGTCACCATACCTGGCTAATTTTAAAAACTTTTTATAGAGATGAGGCCCAGGCTGGTCTTGAGCTTCTGGCCTAAAGCAGTCCTCCTGCCTTGGCCTCCCAAAGTGCTGAGATTACAGGCATAAGCCACCGCATTCGGCCTCCAATAACATTTTATTTTTTTATTTTTTTTTGAGTTGGAGTCTCACTCAGTCGCCCAGACTGGAGTGCAGTGGCCACTCCCAGCCACCGCAGCCTCGACCTGCTGGGCTCCAGCGATCCTTCCGCCTCAGCCTTCCGAGTAGCCGGAATTACAGGCGCGCGCTACCACGCCTGGCTGATTTTTTGATTTATTGTAGAGATGAGGTCTCGCTGCCCAGGCAGGTCTCGAACCCGCGGGCTCAGGCAATCCACTCACCTCAGCCTCCCAAAGGCGCGGGATTACAGGCTGAGCCACCGAGCCCGGTTCTCATTTAATTTTGAGTAGGAGTCTCACTCTGTCACCCAGGCTGGAGAGCAGTGGCACACTCATGGCCACCACAGCCTTGACCTACTGCACTCAGGTGATTCTTCCACCTCAGCCTTCCAAGTAGCTGGAACCATATACACGCGCCTCCACACCTGGCTAATATTTTTGATTTATTGTACAGATGATGTCTTGCCAAGTTACCCAGACTGGTTTTGAACCCCTGGACTCAGGCAATCCTCTTACCACCGCCTCCCAAAGTGCTGGGATTACAGGGCCATTAGTAAGTCATTGTGCCTGGCCTCCAAGAACATTTTAAACATTTAGATGCTTTCTACATTGCAGGTGTTGGGGATCCAGAGCCAACAGGGCTCAGTTTTTGCTCCCAAGGAACCTATCATGCAGTGGAAGAGACATAGATGTAAACAACCATGCACAGTACTTGTCAGAGAAATAAGTAGCCTGTCTAAGTGTTTGGGGCACCAAGGGACAGAGACGCTGGCTTTGCTGGGAAATTCGGGGAAGGCACTGCTAGCCTGGATTGTGTTGATGGAGGGTGAGTAAGAAATCTAAGGGGCAATGGGCAGAAGGATGATCATGCCAGACAGAATGATAGAGTACAAAAGCACTGGGTCCTGAAAGGGTACAACGTGTCCAGAGAATGGTGAGGTGAGTGTGCCTGAAACTGGGGTGCTTGGTGGGAAGGATAGGTCAGGAACCTGGGAGATGGGTAGGGTAAAAAGGCTGTGTGAACACTCTCACAAAACAGCATAGTCAGCAGCAACCAGGCAAGAGAAGGTCTTCAGGATAAGAGTGGCCAAATAGGCCAGGCGTTGTGGCTCAAGCCTGTAATCCCAGCACTTTGGGAGGCCGAGGTGAGAGGATTGCCTAAGCCCAGGGGTTTGAGACCATCCTGGGCAACATGACAAGACTTCGTATCTATGATAAATAAAAAAATTAGACCAGGCATGGTGGCTCACGCCTATAATCCCAGTGCTTCGGGAGGCCGAGGTGAGAGGATTGCCTGAGTTCACAGGGCTCGAGACCAGCCTGGGCAACTTGGTGAGACCTCATCTCTACAATAAATCAAAAAATTAGCTGAGTGTGGTGGTACGTGCCTGTAATTCCAGCTACTTGGAAGGCTGAGGCGGAAGGATCACCGGAGCCCAGCAGGTAGAGGCTGCGGTGGCAATGAGCATGCCACTGCACTCCAGCCTAGGTGACAGAGTGAGACTCCAACTCAGAAAAAAGGAAGGCCAAATTTTCATTATTGTATTTAAATAATTATTATTTTAGAGAAAGCTGGAGAAGGAACTAAAGGAAGACCAAAGTCAGAAGGCTCTGTTAAGAGGCTGCTGCATGGTTGGGCGCAGTAGGTCATGTCTGTAATCCCAGCACTTTGGGAGGCCAAGGCAGGAAGACTGCTTGAGCCCAGGAGTTGGAGACCATCCTAGTCAACAAGGTGAGACCTCATCTCTACAAAAACCAAAAATTATCCAGGCATGGTGGTACGTGCTTGTATTGTAGTCTCAGCTACTTGGGAAGCTGAGGCAAAAGGATAGCCTGAGCCCAGGAGGTCAATGCTGTGGTGAGCCCTGATCACTCTAGCCTGGGTGACAGAATGGGACTCTGTCTAAAAAAAAAAAAAAAAAAAGGAGGCTGTTGCAGGTTGAGTGTAGTGGCTCACACCTGTAATCCCAGCACTTTGGGAGGCTGAGGCTGAAGCATTGTTTGAGCCCACGAGTTTGAGACCAGCCTGGGCAACATAGTGAGACCATCTGTACCCCCACCCCCCCAAAAAAAAATTAGCCAAGCATGGTGGTTCATGCCTGCAGTTCTAGCTACTCAGAAGGCTGAAGCAATAGGATTGCTTAAGCCCAGGAGGTCCAGGCTGCAGTGAGCTGTGATTATCGTGCCACTGCACTCCAGTCTCGGTGACAGAGTGAAACTGTCTCAAAAAAAGACTGATGCAACAGACTAAGGAAGAAATGATGGGGACTGGAATTAGGGCTCTGGCAGGGGAGATGGACATGGAGGTAAGATACGTCTCTGGAGGAACTGTCAGGATTCTGTGGGTTTCGGTGACAACAGTGAGAAGTGCAAGGGAGAGGGAAGAAAGGGGAAACTGTGTTTTGTGATTTTTAGCTTAGAAAGAGCCGGGCAGGCCAGGTGTGGTGGCTCATGACTATAATCCCAAAACCTTGGGAAGCTGAGGTGAGAGGATTGCCTGAGCCTGCGGGTTCGAGACCCGCCTGGACAACTTGGTGAGACCTCTATCTCTACAATAAATCAAAAATTAGCTGGGTGTGGTGGTACATACCTGTAGTTCCAGCTACTTGGAAGACTGAGGCAGAAGGATCGCCTGAGCCCAGCAGGTTGAGACTATGGTGGCTGTGAGCATGCCACTTCACTCTAGCCTAGGCGACAGAGTGAGACTCCAATTCAAAAACGAAAAAAAAAAAGAGGAAAAAGAAAAAAGGGGGCCAAGCAGGGACTATGAAAACCAAAGGAGGTGAAGTTTGAGGAATTTATTTATTTATTTGAGTTGGAGTCTCATTCTGTCATCCAGGCTGGAGTGCAGTGGCACACTCATGGCCACCCCAGTGTCGACCTGGGCTCCGACGATCCTTCTGCCTCAGCCTTCCAAGGAACTGGAACTACAGGCACGTGCTACCATGCCCGGGTAATTTTTGATTTATTGTAGAGACGAGGTCTTGGTAAGTTACCGGGGCTGGTCTTGAACCTGTGAGTTCAGGCAATCCACCTGTCTCAGCCTCCCAAAGTGCTTGGATTACAGGCTGAGCCACCCAGGCCAGCCTAGAGGAATTTAAAACATAAGTTAAATTTGGGATCAGAGCATTCCCCAACTATCAACCTATCCCTTGTATTCTTCAAAGCCCCAAAGAAATGTCATTGACTCAAGGAATTCTTCCTAAATTGAGCAAAAACAGACTCTACTTGTCACCAGCCTTCTATCCAACACACACCCACAAAAGTGGCTTCTCATGTACTTATTAAGTGCCAGACACTCTGCTAGAGCTGGGCTGAGCGGAGAGATGATGAGGAACCTACACTTAAGCAGCTTCTAGGCTAGCTCACGCTCTGCTCAGGGATGCCTGGTGTAGGAAAGAACAGCACTAGAGACACAAACTCCCTCATCAGTGGTAAACAAGAAACAAATCTTTTTTTTTTTTTTTTTTTGAGTTGGAGTCTTACTCTGTCGCCCAGACTGGAGTGCAGTGGCCGCTCCTGGCCACCGCAGCCTAGACCTGCTGGGCTCCGGCGATCCTTCCACCTCAGCCTTCCGAGTAGCTGGAATTACAGGCGTGACAAATCTATTTTTTAAAAGTTTGCTTTGAG